GCTGCTTTCTAGACCGGGACTACATTTTCCGCATTTGGATATGTATGTATTGTTTGCGGGAAAATCTAACTAATCCAACTCACAAGAGGTTTAACCGCCTAGGTCTGTGCTCACGATACAATCGGAGCACCTGATTTTGGATCCCTGCCGAGTAATCCTTTTGTCACACTACACCAGAAATTTGCCTTTCTCGGTTCATGTGGTGCGCTAAAATCGGTGTTGAATGAACAATTATGAGTAGAATCCATGTCTTTCGGTAAAGCTTCCTTGGATGGCCGATTGTCACCGTATGTGCGCCATACATCAGTCTCACTAATAGGGAACGCACCCCGGTTGTTACTGAGTGAAACGTTGAAACCAGATTTCGACTATGAATAACATACGGAAAGATGAGACTCTGGTGGTCGGAGAGACTGAAATACACAAGCGGAAAGGGTGTGTCGAAATTGGGGATTGGATGGAGAAGATTGTCACCGTGGTCCAATGGGAAGAGCTCGCTGGTTTATTTTCGACAAAATTCAGACCAATTTGAAGCACCTCGAGACACGAAATTAGTAGTTGAAGTCTGTGCTAGACCACAAGCAAATCTCCATCCTAGAGGATAAAAACAGCCCCAGCATACCGGTGTGGACGAGTTAGCCAAAGTGTAGACAAGCATAATCTCTGGAGTGACATAGATGGGTAAAACAGTGATCAAAATGAATAGCATTCCACTGTAGATATGGTAATATATCTTCATGTAGATGATCTTGGTGAGTAAGTTCAGTGCACAAGAGGTCATTGCACGAGGGTCGAGCTCTTATTGCTCTTCAATAAAAATAATGGCCAGACCATCTTTATCACCTCACTACCTCATGGGTGTCACTTGGTTGTGTGAGGGCTAAAGGAGCATCATGGAGGAAGGTTTTGATACTAGGGATACCGCTTTACACTACGTTTCCTAGTTTCTCTGTCCATGAAAATTACTCAGGTAACCTAAACTCATCTTGTTCTAAAAGAGTGCATTTTTCTCTATACCACTGCTACGTTGTAGCGGTGGGAAAGCAATAAGGATCATCTGAACAGTGACTTGGATTTCTGAAGACGGAATCCCGCGACGCCACTCATCTTCGTTCATGTGTTTATTCCGGGTAACCTTTGATTGCTGGCAACCTTCTTGGAAATCGACTATTTATTTGTATATTCAATAAGTAAAAAACAAGCGTCATCAAAAAATAATTATTTTGCAAAATTTGAAGTAACTTTGTTGTCTGATAAGAATTTTTTAGAGATCACACTGATTAAGGAGATAAGTATTTCACTCTGTTTTCTGTGATCACTCGTGACGCTATCTGTCTAATTGCGAGCTCTGTTCAGAATCGCACAAGCAAATTTCAACAGCGCTACACGCTAAGGACATCTGGGAGTTCAACTGGACTGTGCACCCAAACACGATGCTTTTAAAGTTTGCTGTGGAACACTGCCCTATCCCTCGTCATGAGACCCCCCTCCCACACACACACACAAACATATATAAAAAAATTACTCCAGTCTACCCCAAGCCTAGAAGCAATTTGTATCATAGATACGAATGGCCATGGCCATATTAGTTTATCGTCTCAGGTCACCGCATCAGAATGACAGGGATACTAATGGACTGGAGAGACAGTATACAGACAATCATTTATTGAATCTAGATTCCGATAGAATGTCAACCCACCCGCACATTTCTATCCACTTGAATCGCGCCAGAATCGAGCATTTTGTCGCACTTTATCGTTTCCTGGTGACTCAATCCATTCGACCTG